TCAGAACATAAGGTGGAAAAAGATCCAGACAGAAGACAGTCAATGACAACTCACCCCCCCCCCTTCCTTCAAGGAGGAGGAAGGCTGATGCTAGAGAAGATCAAATATTTGTAAATGGCTTTGTTGGAGACAATAGGCGTATGTTGATAAATGAATCCTGCACTCTGAATTAAAAATTGATATTTGGTATACAATGCCGTAGTTTGATCATAGACCTTAAAGACAAAGCAATACAAAGCAAAACAAAACCCCAGGATTGGATTCCAATTAATCTTCCTTCTACTAAACATCTGACTTTTGGAGAACTACTTAACAACTTTAAGGCATTTCTTTGTAACCTGTATACGAATGGCTGTATCAAATATAAGTAAGTGCTAAATTAGCCCTTTACCTTTGCCAAATTTAACTTTGTTCTTGTATTACTATTTGAAATTTATTGCCATCATGTGGGTCTGTGTGACACATGCATGCCTAGAGTCTGTGGAAGCAAGAACGATGCCCTAGAACTGAAGTTAGCCCTTTGCAAGAACAGGTACTTTCAACTACTGAGCAATCTCTCTATCTCCTACTTAGTACTTTTTAGTAATTTGAATTTTGAAAGTCTATACATTGCTTCAAACAAAGGGTTTGGCTTTCAAAAAAGAGGTTGGCATCAAAACCTGACAGGATACAGCCATCATCCTCATCACCATCATTTCTGCCTTCATCCTCCCAGTTACAGTCACCGCCATCATTATCACCAACATCTCCACCTCCATCCTCCCAATCACAGCCATCACCATCACTATCAACATCTTCTTCACCTCCATCCTCCCAATCACAGTTATCACCATCACTATCAACATCTTCTCCATCACTCATAGCTCCTCCCAATCACATCATCTCCATCAACAGCACAGCATGAACAGAAACATACCTTTCATTAGTATTAATTTAGCAAAGTTCTTTTTTGTTAATTCTGTTCTATTTTGCTTCCATGTTGTTCTTGCAATAGGATATCTTACAAACCCTGATAATCACGTAACTTAAAATGAAACTTGACTTAGCTAAACCTATACCACACAAACCAAAAAAAAAATAAATTGAATTCCCCATTTTTAAAATTTATGTACATTTATTTTTTCTTCTCAGAATATCTTCTTTGTCTTACACTGAACACTTCTTTTCCTGCAAATCTTCTAGACCCCACTCAAGAATTAATCCTTTTCTCAGTGCAATGATGGATAACAATCACCTTTTACTTTTACTGTATTTGTTTTGTCTATATTGTTATCTCTCATTTCTTGCTCTGTATATTCATTTATCATTTTTCAAATAGATGGAGCAATCCAACTATACATTCCTTCAGGAAATATAAGGCAAGTTTGAATATAAAAATGATATAGTGAAATCTTATATAGATACATAATGTGAGGTACATGACATAAAAGAAGAAACAAAAGCTTCTTTTTGGGGGAGTAGGAGTCAAAGGAGACCAGCAGAAAGAAGGAGAATGAAACAGAGATCATGTCCATCCTTGACCTCAATACCATACCACATACATGTGAATATGTACTCCATCTGTGCAAACATGATTGTAAGACAATGTTCTTCTGCTGTGGGACTATCTTTTTTCTGAAAATACTTCTTGCCTTCATAATTTGAACTTGCAACACAGTTAATAATGTGTCTTCGGACTTTGTAAAATATTTACTTAATTTGCTATCTTTGTGTGTAGTCAGTCTACTTAAATTTAATTTGCCTTTAAAGAAACACTATAGGGCTGAGCACTTGGGAGGCAGAGGCAGGCAGATCTCAATGAGTTCAAGACCAGCTTGGTCTACAAAATGAGTTCCAGAGCAGCCAAAGTGAGTTCTCTGTAACACAGAGAAATCCCATCTCAAAACAAACAAACAAACAAACAAGAATGAATGAAAAAAGAAAATGAATGAAAAAAGAAAACATCCCAAACAAGAAAAAAACAAAACCCTAAAAACAAACAAGAACATTGTATTCAATTTTTTATGGAATCAGCTTTTACAACCTAATTAAATGCATGGTTTTAATTAAAAAATAAACTGTTCCATGTTACTGACCTGGAACAATGTATCTGTGAATATTATGGTAATCATTTATGGAAAGGTCCAACAATTTGAAAGCAATCTTAAAGAAAACATATATCCCATAAATGCTGGAGTCAACATGTGGATATAGGTTGATAATATCTGTTTGAAGTTTTTAGTCCTATTCTGGGTCAGTGGGGTTAGTAAAGTAGCCTCTGTTGCAGTGGTTTAAATGAAAATGGCCCCTATAGGCTCTTTTATTTGAATGTTTAGTTCCCAGGTGGACTGTAAGGAAAGAATAGGAGGTGTGGCCTTGTTGGAGGAGGCTTGTTACTGGGGGCAGACACTGAGGTTCAAAAGTCCAATTTCTCTTTGTCTCTGTCTTTATCTTTCCCACTTTCTCTGCTGCCTTTGGATCAGGATGTAGCTGATCTCCGTTATTTCTCCAGCACCATGTCTGCCTGCTTGCAACCTTGCTCCCTGCTGTGATAATGATGAACTAAACCTCTGCAACTGCAATCAAGGCCCAGATTAAATATTCTATTTTATAAAAATTGCTTCCCCCCAAAAAGTAACCCCCCCCAAAAAAAAGTAAAAAAAAATTGCTTTGGCCATTGTGTCTGTTCACAGCAATAGAACACTGACTAAGACATTTGTAAAACTCTGTTAATAATTTCTGCAAAAAAAAGTCTCATTGCCTTCCCATACCATGCTTCCTGCACACACACACAACAGACAGATAACAGATAGGCTAGAAACCATAGACAATAGAAAGGAAAGGACAATGAGAGAAGTACAGAATTCAAATTTGGGATTGCTCTTGGTCTAAACTTTTTCAAGACATTAAACGAATCTTTAACTAAATACACACACACACACACACACACACATACACACACACACACACACACACACGGGGAGAGAAAGAGAAAGAGAGAGAAGGAGAAGGGGGGGTGGAGAGAGAGAGAGAGAGAGAAAGAGAGAGAGAGAGAGAGAGAGAGAGAGAGAGAGACTGAGACCTGTGAAGTTCATTTTATGTTAGTCAATTACTCCTGAACATGAGGCCTGCCCTCAAGTAGTTCATATACCCAGTGCCACTCCATTGGAGCAAACTGATTTTTCTTTTCCCAGAAGATGTACATGACAGTTCAGTTTTTAACTTTTACCTTAGTAAAGTGGTTAGTTTTCATTCATTCATTCATATAACAAAAATATAATAAGCTAAAGCAAAAACTATCACATCCAAGTTGGACAATCCAAACCAACAGAAGGAAAAGAGTCCAAGATACCTACTCATTCACATGTTCAGGGAACTCATCTTTTCTTAGTGAATAGCATTCTTAGAAATTTTCTTCTAACCACCTTCAGATTATTACTTTTCAAACATGTCAAATATTTAAGAAATATGGTAAAATGAATATATATGTGAATACCCCCATATATATGTATAAAATGTACCTAAATTTATGTTAGCAGTATTTTCTAGATTTGCTTTTTTGCTTATTCTATAAGTAGGGGTATATGTATATATATATATATATATATATATATATATATATATATATATTCAAAATCTTCAGCATTAGTTGCTGTGTATTTTTATGTCTGTTTAGATCATTTAAATTTTGAGCAATTTCCCACTTGCTTTTTATTGGTGGTTTTATTTAGCTGTTCATGTAGATGTCTCACAACTTGGATACATTTGGGTGTGTCCCATAATTAAAATCATACTAAGTATTTTATCAGTGGTATGCAGGTGTACACTACCCATTGGATCCACTGTAAGACAATATTTGCAATGGTGAATTAGATCACATGCTTAAGCATATACTGCCAGATCTTTCCATTATAAATGCTTTTTTGTCTTGTAACTAGCACATCTTGGCAGTGATTCCCTCAGACTATGTAAATGGAATATTCTCCATTGGCCTTCACCCAGTGGCTTCAAAATTCACTCATGGCTTTGGTGGCATATGCTGGCACATTGGCCTATGATTCTAATTCTACTTTTAAATTTGACTTTTGTAGTTTGCTGAGTCATTCTTGGTCATAAGTCATAAATGGGAAAGCTTCCATTACATTTACTCTTCAAAAATATAGGCATGAAAGCATTATTTTAGGAAGTTTAAACAGGTATTATAAGCAACAATAATGGTTGCTATTTTAAATGGTTTAAAAAATTAAAGTTGTTTCAGCTTCATTTAAAAATGTAGAAATAATGATGTACCTTATCTCTCTTTGAAGACGAGCTGATGACTGTGCCAGGCTCATAATAATAATCCCTCAGCAAATGGTACTTTCTGTATATTAACTATTTCGTAGTCTGCTTTTTAGAACTGGAAGTTCAATTGTTCTTTTTCTTTAGTCTCTGTTCCAGTAAAGAACTCTAATTTTAAATTAAAGGTTCACACTTTTCAATCCAAAAACAAAAACAAAACAAAACAAGCTGTCTTTTTTTTTTTTAAATGCTACAAAACCCAGAATGCATGAATTAAAACTCCAGTAACCTCCTTCATCTGCCTCAATACCCCGTCTTATATCTAAGGACCCACGGTGAATTCTGCCTCCCCCTTCTTCACTCCATTTCACCCTTGTCTCTGTGCTACACTTGCTGTTAGTTATTGTATTTCCTACAAAATGAGTAGAGAAACCCAAACAATAAAGATGGCTATTTAGTTTTAAGGATTCGATGAATTTGAAAAAAAAAAAAAGAAGACAAAATGTTAAGATTTACTTGATTATTCTGACATTGGAACACACACAGATCCTGTCTAAACACTTTAATCATAAACAGAAGATAAAAATGTACTAATGGGGACATACAATACCCATGACATTCAATATACTAGACAATTTTAAGACTACCTAAAATGCATAATAATAATATAACATTTAAATATTTACAGTCTGAGACCCTGAAGATCTGAAAGGAGTATAAGAAGTAAATTTTTTACTCACAGGGATACAACTGAAGAAATTGGTCCGTCTTTGGGGATCTTGTAGCATTGACCTGCTGGGTTGTCTCATATTCAACAAATAATCCAAATAAGACAATTATAATAACTTCCAGGCCTATGGCCATGAGAGAGAATTTAAACCTCATGACTGTGGCGAGGGACAGAGCTGCAATGAGGGCTTCACAGGCTGTGTTGGGCTGATAAGAGCATAGGACTGATTTGTGTGTGGAATTAGGTTGCATGTTCAGAGCTCAGAACATTTCAGAGACCACACACACACACACACATAAACACACACACTGAGAGAGAGAGAGAGAGAGAGAGAGAGAGAGAGAGAGAGAGAGAGAGAAACAAGACTGGTTAAAATTCTCTATTCGTTGGAAACTGGAAACATATTAAGTTTTGAATGTTGAAGAGCACATTACATAGATTAGGAGGGGCTACTGACCCATACAATGTAGAATGCTTGAGAAATCAAGTGATATACTGTATATGTGCCTCGAATTGTATTTAACCTCATTCAATAGACAGTTTTTCGGTGCTTATTATGTGCTAAATACTCTCCCTAGCTCCATAAAACATATAAATTTAAACAAAATATAGAATGGACTTACAAATTTCCTTGAGGGAAATTTGGAATTTGCAAAGGCAGAAATATAAGTGAGTGATTGTATGAAAACAAATGCAGAACAAAAGAATAGTTAGCTACATGATATATTCAAAATTGTCCAGAAGAGGTAAAAATTCTCATCACATTCAGTGAGTGATGGACAGAGTTGGAAATATTAGTGCCTCAATTGGATTGGTATGTACAACATATAACAATTGTATGTGTGTTGAGCTACCGTAGTGCATCCTATAAAGCATAAAATAAAAAATTACAGAGAGAATGACCTTAATCAGGGAAGATCTGTTATCATGACTATTGTGATTACTGAGTTGATAAGCAATTCAAAACTACCATGTGGATGGAAGACTTTTCATCCAACCTGGAATTGTGTTTCTAGTAGAGTAGACCTGCTTTTGAGAATAAAGAGATAGCCATTGAGTAAAATTACTGTCACTTAACCCCATTTCAAAAATTTCTATGCAAAATAAGGAGGAAAGTACAAATGCCTGCTAGATCATTCATAGTCTATATCGGGACAATTGCTTGTTGGTTTACAAAGCATAGTTTGGGCTGCTGGAGGATGGTTCGGTGGGTAAAGCACTTGCTTTGCAAGTGTGAGGACCTGAGCTCTGTTGTGAGCATCCACATGCAAAGTGGGACATGAAGGCGTGTAACAGTAATCCCAGAAATAGGGAGGAGACAAGTGGGTTTCTGGGACTTGTTGTTCAGCCAAACACCAACCAAATTCAGTGAGAGATCCTCTCTCAAAATGTCTAACTGGGGGATTTACAAAAAAAAAAAAAAACCCAAAAACCCCACAGTTGAAGTCCACATTTGGCATGCCCTAGCACACATGTGCATATATTACATGAACACATACATGTGCCCAGCAGATCCAGTACATGTCTGTCCATGTGTATATATTCTCTTAACTTTTTATGTGGTAGAACATGAGATCTCGCCGGGCGGTGGTGGCGCACGCCTTTAATCCCAGCACTCGGGAGGCAGAGGCAGGCGGATCTCTGGGAGTTCGAGGCCAGCCTGGTCTACAAGAGCTAGTTCCAGGACAGGAACCAAAAGCTACAGAGAAACCCTGTCTCGACAAATCAAAAAAAAAAAAAAAAAAAAAAAAAAGAACATTAGCTCTCAGGACTAAATTATTTCTGAGAATTTGTGAATGTCCAACTTGAAGACATGGAAAATCTCTATTTACCTTTTCATTACAGAAATCGTAACAGGACTATGTCACCTGTCTGATTGTGGGAATACTCGTTCACCCCACAATTTGATTTCTGACTTTTGTGGTGACCCTAAGAGTGTTCTGTGGTGATATTTTGTTTGTGATGTAACACAGCTTGTCTTAAGATCAGAGAAGCAGAGCATCCAGCCACTAGTTCTTACCTCTTCTTATTACTCAGACGAAAGGGGTGATCCTCTCCTTACGGAGGATCCTCAGACTGAATGCTCTGAGCTTCTGTCTCCTCCTGCTTGTATTTCTCTCTCTGTCTAGCCATATCACTCCTTTCTCCACCTCCCTACTGCTGAGATTAAAGGCATGTGATCTCAAGTGTTGGGATCAAAGGTATGAGTTCTGTTTCTCTTTTAGACCAATTCAATCTCATATAACACAAGGTGGACTTGAACTCACAGAGATCTGTCTGCCTCTGTCTCCCAAGTTCTGAGATTAAAGAGTATACCACCACTGCCTGGCCTCTATGGCTAACTAGTGTGGGTAGCTGTAATGGGTTTGCTGCAGGTCCCTGGCAGCTTGGGGTCATTAGCAGCCCAGCCGGTTCCAGGCAGAGACTACGCATGAGACCCCTGGGCAGAAATGTGGCTGGTCCCCATCAAGCCTTGTGGGCGGCTGGCTTGTCCCCCCTGACAGACAGCGGGTCCTGGGATGGTACAAGTCCCAAGCAGTGAGCAGTCCTAGGTAGGGACAGCACACGGGACCACACGGCAGGTCTCCAGGTCTCCATGTGATGGTGGGGAGCAGGCAAGAGAGAGATGGATGGACACACCATACAGAGTGGAGTTTGGATATTTATTTAGGGGTTACGGAAGGGAAGGGAGAAGGGCAGAAAGGTGGAGGGGGAGAGAGAGAGAGAGAAAGAGAGAAGAGAAAGAGAGAGAGAGAGAGAGAGAGAGAGAGAGAGGAGAGACCCAAGCTACCTCTCTGAGAGAGACGGAAAAGAGAGAGAAGAGAGAGACAGAAGAGGGGAAGGTGAGAAGTGGGGAGAGAGGCAGAAGCTATCTCTCCATGAGGAGGACCGAAAAGAGAGAGAGAGCTCAGGCCTGAAGCTGAAGATCAGCCTGCCTCAGCAGATGGGGGAGGGAGTGGGCATGGCTTGTCTCTTAAAGAGACAGAACAATCATTACAGTAGCTCCACACTCTGATCTTCAGTCTCTATTTGTTACATCACAAACAAAATAGCACCACAGTGTTCATGAGACTCCAATGAGTAAGAAACCTGAAGTATTTATGTTAATAAACCATACAATTGCTTTGGTAAACCAAGAAAATTGTGTATCATAAAGACATGTTAATATCTTAAGCCAGTGTGGTTCTAAACTATATAACAAAATGAAAAAAAATGTGTTAACCAATCTAACACCTATCATGATGTTCATTCTCACCTGGTAAATGTTCATAACAGTGGGAACAAGGCCTTTTATCTATACAGTGCAGTGAAGGAATTGTCTTCAGTGGCTTTCCTGGGGGGATTCCAACTTGCTGGCCTTGCTGTGTATGCTGTGTATTGAAATAGACGCCATCACGAGTCACCTGGAGGAATACCTCTCTCATTAATTATCACACACATGACTTTTCCCCTGATTGATAACAGGTCCTCACAGTCTTTCCTCTTTCCACTCCTGTCATTCTTCAGCAGTCAGGTTTCAAAATGTTATTTACTCAACAAAATTAGTCCTCTAGCATTTTAAACTAGGTTTATATAGTTATTTTTTAAATATTAGCCTGATTTATGGGATAACTAGATTTCAAGAAAAGAGGCTTATTTTGGTCATGGTTTCAGAAATTTAAAAAAGATATATATTTTTTAAAAATTATGTGTCTGAGTGTTTTGGCTGCATATATGCTTGTGTTCCACTTGTGTGCCTGGTGTCACAGAAGGCCAGAGGAGGATGTCCCCTGAAACTGGAGTTACAGAGGATGTGAACTGTCAAGTGGGTTCAGAGAACTGAACCTCGGTCATCCGGAAGATCTGCTAGTTCTCTTAACCACAGAGTTTAGCCTAAGTTTCAGAGGTTTTAGTTAAAGACTGAGTAGACCTACCTATTGCGTGGTAGAGTAAACTTATTATTTTGTGTTCAAAGCAAATCAGAAAAAGGAAGTCATAAGGCACTGAGGGGGTAAACTGCCCGAAGGATCTATGGTTCCACTATAATGAAGCTTTGATTACCTCCAAGTACTGTCATGCTGGGGGAAAGGGCTTTTTTAACATATGTGATTTTTCAGATTATGGTATTTTCTGTATGTACTATGTTGACATACATGTTTTAAAGGTCTTTTTTTTTTAAACACAGAGACTCACAACTGAGAGTGAGAGTCTTTGGAGCATTCAATTCTAAATGGGATGTCTTCATCAGACATATCTTTTCAAAACTCAGGGAGCTATGTGGAAGGTAGGTAGAAAGACTGGAAGAGTCAGAGGTGAAAGATGACTCCGAGGAAAGAGCATTAGCCATATACAGCAGGACTGATGCACACAAGAACTCATCATTCATATACAACAGGGCTGATGCACACGTGAACTCATCATCCATATACAGCTGGACCGATGCACACATGAACTTGTAGAGAGGTGACAGCATGCACAAGATCTGCACAGGTTCAAACTACAAAAATTCGAGCACTGATCAGGAGAAGTGAGCGCCAGCCTCACCTCTAAACATGAAGCTATCTACAAGTGTTACCTTCTGGGAAAGGGAAAAATCAGGTTTTTCTAATGGTTTGTCACTGGGCATATCAACCACACTCCAGGGCAGGTCCCATGCCCAGGAATAATGGTCAATACAAGACAGGGATCCCATTTTTGTGGCCTTTTTTCTGTTTTTTTGTATGTTATTGGTTTATTGTTTGTTTTGATTTTCATTTTCTTTTGGAGAGAAAGAGTGAGAGAAAGAGATACATAGAGATACAGATAGACAGGAGGGAACATGAACTTGGATGGGTAGGAAGGTGAGAAGAAGGTGGGAGGAGCTGGTGGATGGGAAATGTGATCAAACTATATTGTATGAATTTTTAAAATAAAAACTTCAAAAAAAGTTTATCAGAAAAACAAACAAACAAAACCAACTAACCAACCAATCAAACAAACCCCAAACTAGCCTCTTATCTTCTAGGGACGATATTCTGTCTCACACATGATGCTTGTCTGATATCAATACTCTAACAGTATAAAAATGATAAGTATCATTTAAATAAACTGAATTAGGGATAAGCTTGAAGAAGAAAGAGGGAATTAGAAAGCAGTTCAAATGGTGTGAGGAAGGGAAAGCAGGGATAGACTGATG